GGACAGCGGCAGCTGAGAAGGTGCCACTTGAGAAGGTAAATTGAAGAGCTTTTTAGGCGGAACAATTAGAAAGCCTTAGGGAGCAACTGGATTTACAAAGAAGACTGTGTAGGTAGCATTTTGGCCAACTGCCATGTTTTTAGTTGTGTAACTAGAAATGCCACAGGAGGAGGACGCACAGTAGTAATGAGACCGTTGGAGGATGTAAGGTGGCATAGAACAATGACTTCAGTTTTGCACATCTTGACTTTAAGATGTGAAAACTTCCACAAAAAATACACCAAAAAAGATGCCTACTGCTCAAGGGGATATCTGGGACTAGAGATTTGGAAACCCAAGGAAGATACATGACGTATAAACATTGCAGGATGAGAACAGATCTTGAGAAGTGTAAGTGTTTAGGGAACTGTAAAGGAGGCAAGAGAAGAGTGGAGTCTTGGAAGCCAAGGAACAGAGTACTTGGCCTTTCATGTGCCCCTTGAAGATGTGCTCTGAACGTATCATGATGCATCTCTTGAAATTGGTACGAGGAGAGCACTGTGACCTCAGAAGGCAATTCTGGAGTGTTGGGGTGAAGGGAGGGGAACTGAAGAAGCGGGACGAGTTAGCATAGCCTCTATTTCAGGAAGCTTGGCTGAGAAGGATGGAAAAAGTAAGGGAAGGATTTGGACTGAGACAGCAGAAGACATGCAGGGTCAAGAGAGCTCTTCTTAGCACAGGAGAAAGGTGAAGTGGGAGGGAAAGAGCAGCATGAAAGGGATAATAATACAGAGGGGGAAAGAGAGAGAGGTGACACTAAGATCCAAGGGCAGAAGAAAGGAGAGTACGTGGAGCGTTAGGTTGTGTGAGAACTGTCTTTCCCGTCACACCATCAGGGAAGATGAGGAGGCAGGTGAGATGGCAGGTCGAAGATGGGCTGCAGGCCCAGTGCATGGTTTCTGTTTGCTCTGTGAAGTTTTAGTTGACATCATCTTCTCAGAATGAGCAGGCTAAGTTTTGGGTGGGAGCTTGAGAATAGTATTGAAGGTGTCACACCGTTGCCCAGGGGAACTGAGCAACCTGCCGCTTTGAAGTGGTTCAGCACAGCCAGGAATGATGAGGATGCAGCTGGGAGACCTGCCATACTCCTGATATCTCAGCAAAGCAAAACCAGACATTTGTGAAGAAATATAAGTAGGTAGGTCCAGGTTTGAATTTCAGTACTAACCCTTTCTCGCTGTGAGAACTTAAGGAAGATACTTAATAGTGCTGAGAGTCAGTTACCTTCCTTGCCTGGGCCATGGGAGGTAGGGGTCCTTAGGTCTACTACATTGTAGTAGCAGTTGTTGTGTATTGTAGAGTCAGAACTGACCCCTGGCTGAAACCCCCAGTGGGGTTTCAGAGGCAGTTAATTGCACAGGAGGAGATTGCCTGTCTTTCTACCACAGAGCAGCTGGTGGGCTTGAACCATGAGTCTTCAGGATTGCAGCACAGTTTCTTGCCACTAGTCCACCAGAGCTCCCTACATTGTATATGTTGTAGTAGAGATGATGCTTATATAGTACTTAGAGAGGAGTATCTAGGTGATATAAATATATAATGCTGTTGGCTGCTAACTGAAAAGTTGGAGGCCTGAATCCACGTACAGACACCTTAGAAGAAATGCCTGGTGATCTGCTTTTGAAAAGTCAGACATTGAAAGTCTTACAGGACACAGTTCTGCTCTGACATGCAGGGCACAGGATCACTGATTTGAACTTGACGGCCGCTAGTTTAGTGTATTGGACAGGGTCTGCCAATAGTGAGTCCCAACAAGGGCCAGTTTCTATGTCTTCTCTTTATGTTTACTTACTTCTGGAGGTGGAAGGAGGGTTGGGGATGTGACTTAAGTTCATATCCTCCTTCCCGTCTGGAGGACCTTCTCCTTTGCCTCAGAATTCTATTGTCCTTCCCTTCAAAGTCCTGATCATGTCTCTCCTCTTTTAATTTTCCACATGAACACCTTATGGATTCCCTTGCTCGAGTTCATGCACATTTCGGCCGTTTATACAGTTACAAGCTTGTTAAAGACAGATGTGAAACTCCTAATCCACCGGCTGCTTCTTACATTTAGGTGGGAAAGATGTAGCAAGCAGTCTTCTTCCCTAAAGAGGACATTGTTTTTGCTGAGCACCATCGAGTTGGAACCAACCCTCAGCTGACCATCCAGTAGTTTTCAGAACCAGTTAGTCCTGTGGGAGGAGATTGCCCATCTTTTTCCCACAGAGCAGCCAATGGATTTGAACCACAGGCCTTTGGGATTGCAGTGTGGTTTCTTACCACTAGGCCATCAGAACTCCCTAAAGTTTATATTCAGCCTTGGAAAGCCCAAGCTGCCCTGTGGGGCTGCTGTTAGCTAAAATCGTCTCTATGGCAGTGCCATTATATGGCACCCAAGGCACTGGAGGTTCATTCTTACCTTCAAGGCAGGAGACTCAGGTTCAATTCTGAGCAGTGTCCCTACGTGTAGTCACCCCTTGCCTGTCAGTGGAGGCATCTGTGTTACTACGATGGAGAACAGGAAAAATGTTCATCACTGTATGGAGAACATTCTGTATGATCACTGCCAGTACTGAGAAGCCATCCAGAGCCCTGTCTGCTAATTCCAGCTTTGTCTCGCACTAACTGAAGGACTTGGACAAATGCTTTACCTTCTTCCAGCCTCAGCATCCTCTCCGTAAAATAAGAATGATAACACCTTTGGTGTTAGGTTGGTTTAAAGATGAAAGGTGATAAAAGATGGAAACTGCTAAGTGTGATTTCTGGAGCAAATAGTCAATAAATGTTAGCTGTTACTGCTTTTTTTTATCATTTTTTAAAAATATTTTTTATTGGGAAAAACATATTGGGGGTACAAGGAGGTGAGGGTTGGGGGCAGAAGGGTGAGGATGTGCCAGGATGCAGTTGCAGAGCTGCACAGTTTGGTCGGTGGGGGAAGCAGGTGAAGGAAATGATGAGGGTCCAGTGGGGACCAGATGCTACAGAGGAATGACAAGCATTTTCCAATAGTAATTAAACCAACTGTCTTATTGATTTGGGAATTGGATGCCGACTCTCTGGCTTCTTCATGCTGAACAGGGGCGTAGATATAAAGGGGGGAAGGGAGGACGCTTTATCACCTTACTGGTGGTCTTGGGTTACAGCTGCTTGCCTTCTTGCTCCTGAGGGCCGCAACGGTTCACCCCGAGCTGGGGGCCAAGCGCAGCCGGCCCCGGGCAGAAGGCCACGGCGGCTCGCCCTGAGCCAGGGGCCGAGGGCAGCCCGCCCCAGGCAGAGGGCCACTGTTACTGCTTTTATCACCCTGAGCCATGCCTCCCTTTAACGGAGTCCTAGCATCAAATGCACTTGGTTGGAACAGAGCTTCAGCCTCCAATTCAGCTTCTGATCAGTGGCTGGTGAGTGATGGGCAACACTGCACACATCAACAAGGGACCAACAAATGCAAGAAGCTGAAGGTCCAGCCCAAAGCTGAGTGTGGACAGTGTGTGGAGGGCTGCTACTTAACGAAGCATTCTATAAAGCCACGGTCATACACATAAATAGCTGTGTGGTCATCAGGGAGGTTTCTAAGAGCAGAGAGGAAGAGAAGAGAACCCGCTGGGTGGAACTGGACTGAGACAGCCTCTCAACGCTCTGGTCTCCCCTTGCCATCAGCTGTGGTATGCTGTGGGAGCATGAGAAATAAGTTTTCTGTTGAGCTCACTACCTCTGGGCTCATGTCACCCCACCTCCTACACCCTTACTAGAGCACAGACCACATCCTGCTCACTGAACCCGAACCACAGCCTGGTGTTGGCTCTCTGGGGTAGAGCAGGTGGGGCCTGAGCTCGCCTCCTTCCTCTGTTCCCCTAGCCCTGGCTTATCTCTCTGCTCTGGTAGAAACCTGTGCCCCCTCCTGCATCCCATTACACAACCAGCCTTCTCATCCCCTGATCTCATTCTACCTGTCAAAGCTTGTGTTTCTGGCTCCCTGATCACTCTGTGGTCACCCACGGTCACTCTAGATGCTTTTCTCCAAGAGGAGTCAAACATTTGCTCTTTGATGCCCTCTTCAAAGGAGTGTTTCAGGAAAATATACCGTCAGCTGTGCAAATAAGCTGTACTTGACATTTGGAATCAGAGGTGAGAATTTAGTCAGAGTAGGAGTAGGGAGCTTTAGTGGCCCAGTGGTAAGGAGCTGTGCTGTCAACCCAAAGGCATATGGTTCAAATCCACCAGCTGCTCTGTGAGAGAAAGACAATAATTTACTCTACTGTGTGAATTTCTGCCTCTGAAAAGCTACTGGAGGGTTAGGGATGAGTCAGTTAGGAGTCAGCACAGACTCTACAGTCCCCAACAACAACACAGGGATTATAAGGGAGAAGCTGAGATGTCTCAGGGAATAGAGCAGCTTCTGAGGGCCTCAAACAAAACAAAGAGAAGCAAAGGTTCCAGGCATAGCTACTTTATTTATTATTTATCCCTTCTCTCTCTCTCAGCTAATAAGGAGCTAGAGCATTCCTGGGGAAGATGCAAGTGGCAGTGGTAATGCAAGTGGAGGCGGGGAGGACACTGAAGACCAGATCTGCAAATGGGGAAGGGCATCTGCTCAGAAACCCATTCCCATAGGGTCCCTAAATAAAGCTGGATAACAGAAAGGAGGATGGAATGGTTAAGGACAGGACAATTTACAAGAAAACGAGGGAGAAAGGGAACAAGCATGGGAGTGGAGTGAGGAACGGTAAGAACAGAAATATATATCTTGATAAGAGGGCCTGCCAAATGTTAAAGGGTGATCAGATGTTAGTTCAAAGGGCAACTAAAAAGGTGTCCCAGATTTGGACACAAGCAAAGAAGACAGGAAGGAGCAAGCTAGCGGAAAGGCTGTAGGCTGTGAGTTCATTATAAGGCAGAAGAATTCTCTGTGGGGTCCAAGATTTGTCCAAGAAACTAGGAGTAGCAGCTGGCCTTAGGCGGTGAAAGGCAAGGGTCATCAAAGTCACTCAGATATTTCTCTGATTCAGACCAGCATAGAGGTCCCGCTGGCCTTTCCGGATGGGCTAGGGGTGAAAGAGAGAGGATGGTTAGGATGGCAGGAAGCAGCTCCTAAGAAATAAGGGCCTCTGACGATGTAACTGTATTACAATGGGAGAACCTTGAGCTTGGGAGCCAGGAGGCAAGTTCAAGTCCTGACTTAACACTGACTGGAGGAGCCCTGGGCTGGTTCCCTCTTGTGATCCTCAGCTTTCTTACTTAAAAAATGGGAATCTAAAGATCCACCTCTCGGGACTTTTGTCAAGGTTAAGTGAAATCACAAGAAAGTGAATGTCATATGCTTGGCTGGTGCTTCGTAAATGTCTGTTGAATTTGTCCAGGAACGATATTCAAAATGTTGGACTAGGAGTGCACACATATCAAGCAATCAGAATAGTCTTGGTAGTCATTTGCAATCCAGGCATTAACTCTTTAATTGCTGAATCAAGAAGTAGTCTAGTGAGATTTAAGGGTAGGGCTGCAATGATTGGCTGTGTGTGTGTGTGCGCACACGTGGCATGTGTAGCTGCGTGTGAGGTTGAGGTTATGTTTTACTAACTGATGTAAGTGCTTGGTGGTAGAATATCAACCTAGAGTTTATGGTGTTAGGATTTACATACGTGGTATTCTCCAAAGCTGTCTCCCAATCAGTAAACAAGCCAGAGAAAGAAAGGCTGAGAGTGTGTCTGTCTCCTGCCTGTCCCTCAATGGCTTTGGAAGCCGTGCAGTCTTCCAGATGGCCCTGTTCTACCACGATGCCCTGTTCTACCATGAGAAAGCAGAGGGGAGCATGTGCAGCCTCTTCTGGGAACCCTGAGGAAGGAGCTTGGGAGAATTTGGGAGGAAAGATGGACAAGCCTATTTGTTCTTTTCTCCCTAGAAGGATCACCTCCCTCCTCATCCCACTTCTTGGCCGCTTTACCCCTTATTACCTCATAGTCTGGGTTGGGAACAGGTGGTGGCTTCTCCTTTTTTTGTCCTGCTGAGGAGACAGAAGAGGATTTGTTTCCAAGTGGGAATACCAATCTTGCAATAATGGCTACTGTGAGGGGACCTAGTTCCAGGATGGTAAAGCCCTTCATCCTTTACCACAGCAGCATCTCCTTCTTTCTCCTCCCCTCCCCAACCCTTTCCTCCCATTTCTATAGATCCCATAGTCTTTTTTTTCATCTTTTTCTGACTTTCAGTTCAAGATCTTTCATTGTTTATTTCTACTGGAGAAGGGGAAGGAAAATACAAACCCCAAGGCCTCTCTCTACACAGCTTGGGATAGAATCTGACTGTTCCAGAAGAGCAAGAGACCCCTGGGGGCAGAGTGGAAAGAAGTTGCACTGCCAACCCAAAGGAGCTTGGTTCAAATCCACCAGCTGCTCTGCAGGAGAAAAAGAGCCAATCTTCCCCTTGCTTTGGAAAGTGTACTGGAGAGTCAGCTAGGAGTCAGTTCTGACTCGATGGTACACAAACCACATATGTGAATAAGCTTTTTAAGGAAGTTGTACATAATAAACTTCTTTGGTACATTTCTGTTGAGAAGGAGCTGAGTGATCTGAGACATGAAGCCCTCTAGTGAGACCTTGGCCTTACAGGCATGTCTGACAGAGGCCTATCTGTAGGAGTTGGACCCTCCCTTTGGTGAGAATCTCCTCAGACCAAGTTTTGAGCTCTTACCTCTGGGTCTTCCACCACTGGCTGCTCCCCGAGTCACAGGTTTGGACTTGGCCTTCCGGTTCTTGCTCCAGTAATACACCACCAATAGCAAGCCCAGCGTGATACAGACATCAACAATGACAATGGCGATCACCACAAGGGGGTCCAGCTCCAGGCAGTTCTCACACACTGATATGAGGGTATGGAGAGAGGAGAAGAAATCACAAAAAAGGGAAAACAAGAGGTAACCAAGTAGGAAAAAGGAAAAAAATTAAGGTGGTTCTTCTCTTATACTTGCTTGCTTGCCACGGCCACAGCCATTTAATGGGTTTAAACATTACCAAGTATGGTGGTTACTTACAGGTGGAGTCTCTGGAGCCAGATACTGTTTGGCTCAGTCTTCACTCCATTTATCACTCAACTCAACTCATTACCACTGAGTTGGAACCAACTCAAAGTTGACCCTTCAGTGGGTTTTCAGAGGCTGTGAGTTGCACTGGGGGTGGAAGGACGCTGGCCATTTTTCTTCTGTGGAACCACTGATGATGATGACCTTTCAACTTTGAGAAAGCTGCTAGAGATGCCTTAGCTATGAGTCAGTTTTGATTTAACAGCAATGAGAGAGGGAGAGAGGGAGGGAGGGGAATTATTATGAGCAGCAGTGGTGCAGGGGTTAAAGTACCCTGCTGTCGAACAGCCATGGTTCGAGCCCCCTGGCAGCTGTTCTGGAGAACAATGCTGCAGTCTGCTTCCGCTAGACTTTAAGTTGGAATCAACTCAACAGTAAAGAGTTTGTTTTCCGTTTTTCTATTTTTGTTTCATTCTCAGCTGTGGCGGCCTTGTGAGTAAGGAGCTGTGCTGTTGACCCAAAGACAGGTGGTGCTAATCCACCAGCTGCCCCAGGGAGAATGATGAGCAATCTCCTTCTGCGGGATGTATGGCTTCTGAAAACTTGCTGGAGGCAGCCAGGAGTCAGTTCCAACTCACACAACAACAACATTATGCCTTAGCTTCTGAAGTCCTACTATATTGGCCTTGAGTCTCCTTTGCAAGCCTTTCTGACCCCTCTGGGTAAAGCACTAGGGAAAAAAACCCTCTTACCACAATTCAGGACATGATTCAATGCAAACGACTTGGCCAGTCTGTCTCTTAGGAGGTTGCTGTGTGAGATGCAGAGCTGGCTTAAATTGCCCAGATAGCCTCATGTGGAGTTGTTTAATCTCTGTTTCATAAAACAGTGATGTTACTTGGTGCTAGCTAGAGTCACAGGACTGAGTGTAAGAGAGAGCACAAGGACTTCAGGGGCCTATGAGTTTGGTGAGGGAAAGTAGTTGAGAATGCACTTTTAATATGCGCCCCCGCCCCTGCCCCAAGCCTGTCAGTTCTTGCTCCTGAGACCAGTATTACCTCGTGCTTTCAGGTAGAGGAAGTACTTCTTATCATTCTCATTATTGTAGCAGGCATAACAACCACTGTTGTCCACTTCGGAAAAATCCACCATAGTGTACACAGGTTCAGAAGAGCCAAGAGTTTTCCCATTTTTTTCCCATTTTATTTCGCCAGATAGTGGGCATTCCAGTGTTACAGTTTTTCCACTAATGCTGATTTTATATTCTGGGGAAGAGGACAGACAGGGAGAAGGGAAAATGGAGAAATCAGGAAGATTTCAAACAAAGCAAATGAGTGACACAGAACCTACTAAGTGCAGAAAGTTACCTGTCACCCAAGTCTTAGATTTGTTTGTCTGAAGTGAACCTGACTGGCTGGAAGTATAGAAGAGTGAGTATGGGGGAGAGAGGGAGCTAGAGTTTTTTAAAAGTGAATGGGAGGGGAGCTCTGGTGGCCTAGTGGCAAGGAGCTGCAACTACAATTCCAGAGGCGAACGGTTCAAATCCACCAGATGCTCTGCCGGGGAAGGAGGGAAAATCTCCTCCTGTACCAGTCAGATCTGATTTGACGGTACACGCACACAGAAAAGTAAAATAAAAAAAAAAAAGTGAATGGGGTGGGGAGTGGCAGGGAGAAAAGTGCAACAATGAATGACTGGAAACCATAAGTCTCTGTAAACTTTCATTAAAATTAATAATAATAAAAAAAGGCGCCTTTAGGGTTGAAACATGGGAAGGGGAGAATGGAAGTAGAGAAAAACATGGAGTGTGAAAGATGGAAGTAAAATGTGAAAGTTTCTATTTGGAAACTCTTTAAAAGGGAGGTTGGGAATGCAAAGCTGGGAGGTCATCAGTTGCCAGGGTTAATCTCAGAATCAATCTGTTTCCTCCTCAGCTACTCACTGCTATCCATTTTCAGAATGGGTACAAACAAAAGACTAATCAACTTACTCAGCTCTGTGTGTCCACTTGTTTCTATAGAAAACAAGAAAAAGAACCTTAGTTTAAGATTACATTGTAGGTCTGATTTTTCAGGGGGAACCAAATGCCATCCCCACTATGTCCCCAAAAGTGCCCCATCCTCCAGAGTCTCAAGCGTCAGGGGTGACATAAACGAGCAGAGGAGTATGCTCAGAGTTCTAACTCAAGACACAGCACACTGAGAGCACACCAGTATGTCCCCTTAGTCCCAGACACATCAAAACTTTTAGATCTTAAAGTTGATAAAGAATTCTGATCCTCCTGCATTAGCTGAACCATATTCCAAACAGAGATGAAGGGATATTCTTAGAATAAAGACCTCCACACCTTTGAATCACTGATCCTGGACCTTACCTATTGACCATTATTCATATTTTGCTGGAAGAAACACAGGCCCTCAGAAGGGATAAAAAACTCATCTGTCCCGCACTTCTACCCATCCATTTCTGTAACTGTCCTTAAATGATTTAAAACATCCTAAAAATCATTAAAGAATGGTTCTCCCAATAGAATGTGGTGTTATTTTAAATTGTTTCCAAGTCTAACTAACTTGCAATAATTTTCTTAGAAGAAGCTATTGATGTAGACAATTGAAATTCACAAATAATACACCAAATAGCATATGGGGATTCAGCCACATTCCCCATAGTTTTGCTCTGGAAGTGGGGCTGTAGGGTGCATTCCTGTTTCTTGGAAGATTTAGGACTGGGAACCTGGGCAGCAGGAGGCAATTCCAGGGTCTGTGCACAACACCCATCAGAGAGGAGGGGGTGGCATGCAGAGGCAGCACTTTCTCTATCAGGAGTGTTTTGCTACAGTGTGCAGTAAAGTTCAGAGAAGGAAGAACAGAATTTGAATCCTAGCTATGCCCTCCAAAGGCTGTGTAACTAAGGACAAGTCACTTAACCTCTTCAGTTTCTTAATCAGGGAAGTGGAGATAAAACATCTATCTCCTAGAGCTTTTGTGAGAATTAAAGAAAATTTGCTAATTCCTTTTATCTTTTTCTTCTTGGTGTCCTGCTACAATGGGGAACAGAACTGAGTTCTGACTCAGTTGCTCAAAGAGCAGTCTGCCTGAGATGGCACTAAATAGCAAATCATTCCCCAGCAGTTACCCACTTCCTACTAATTAGAAGCTGAGCATCCTGACAATAAGTAATGTTGCTCTGACTTGCAGGTGACTTTGCATCACTTAAAAAAAAAAAAGCTAAATGAACTGGAAATCACAAATAGAGTAAAATTAAGTAAGTATAATATGCTGCATGATGTATTTGGAAAAAGAAATGCAAAGAAACTGGCTTCTATCTTTCTGTTGTTGGCATAAATTTTGTTTCAGAGTTTACATATGCTCATACAAGGGCCCAAGTGTCTATGCTTAGAAACAGTGTGTTTTCAAAGATTTTTTAAAATAATTCAAAATGGTTAAGAAAATGAGCTTTAGTGTTTGATAAAGTCCGCACTTACATTTAACTCTGATTGGGTTATATGTTTATTTTTCCAAGCCTCAGTTTTCTTATCTATAAAATGGGGATTTTAGAATTGAATGAGGAAATGAAAATATTTAGGTAATGCCTAGAACAAAAGTTCTCAGTTAACATTAATGTTTATTATCTATAATATGTATGCTTTCCATATAATAATAGTTAATATCCACTTACTGCTTTCAGGCTACTAACTAGAAGGTCAGGGAGCTCTGGTGGTCGTGTGGTATGAAGTGACACTGCGATACCAAAGATATGCAGTTTGAATGCACCAGCTGCTCTGCAGGAGAAGGATGGACAATCTCCTCTCGTACTATGAACTGCCTGTGAAAACTTGCTGGCGGGTCGGCTGTGAATTGAGTTGGTTCAACAACAATCAAAAGGCCAGCAGTTTGAATCCACCAGCCATTCAGTGGGAGAAAGCAGGACAGTTTCCCCCTGTAAAAATTTACCCTAGAAACCTGATTGAGGGTTGCTATGAATTGATCTAAGACAGTGTTTTTGATATACTAGTTAATATTTTAAGTCTGTTAATTATGAATAAAACCTTTACCAGAACCTTGTGAACTCAACTCATTGCCATCGAGTTGGAACCGACACATAGCTGACCCTCCAGCAGATTTTCAGAGACTATAAGTCAGGTGGGAGGAGATTGTCCAGCTTTCTGCCTTGGAGTAGCTGGTGGATTTGAACTACCTGCCTTTGGGATGGCAATGTAACTTTCTACCAAAAAGGCCGAGTCAGCTCCCTGCTCTATGAACTAGTTACCATTACTGACCTCATTTCACAGATGACAATGCTATGGCACAGAAAAATTAAAGAAATGGTTCATAGCCACCCAGCAAGTAAGTAGTTAGCCTTGGTTTAAACATCCGTCTAGCTTTAGACTCTTAGCTTCATTTGGTAGGGCTTTATCTCCTTTGCCTAAAATATTCTTCCCTAGAATATTAACTCATCCTTTAAAATGTCATTCAAGAATTGCCTCCTCTGGGCTGGGCACAATGATGGCCACCTGCAGTCTCAGCTACTCGGGAGGCTGAAGATGGAGGGATCACCTGTGTGCAGGAGTTTTGAGCTGATCGGAGATGCTGTGTTGATGGATACCTGCAATACACTTGACATCAATATGGTGACTTCCAGGGTGCCTCAGAAGGGAGGTGCTGTCCAGGTTAGGAAGGAAGCAGGACAAGAAACAATGCCCTCTGAGAATCTTTTCCAACTAGCCTATGAGGAATTGGTCAGTACTCTGTCTATACTTCATTTCACTCAGAGTCTACTGATATCAGAGCACAAAACACACTATATTACTAATTATTTTTCTTTTACACAAGGCTACCAACCAGCTTCAGGTAGAAAGATAATAAGAAATGTATCCATAGATTTCTTAATTTATGAATTAAAAAAATATCCACTGAGCACTTAGTATGTGCCAGGCACTAGGTCAGGTACATAAGATGCTCTCTCTGCCTTCTAGGAATTAATACTTTACAGAAAAAAGTGTGGTCATAGAATCCTTAATTATGCTTATACGAAATCTATAGCTGGAGCAAGAAATAATTTAGCATTGTTGTTGTTATGTGCCATTGAGTCACTTGTGACCCAGTGGCCCTATGTATAACAGCTCTGAATCCTACTCTATCCTGTGCCAATCTTAGAGTCTCTGACACACCTACCCCCATTACCCCAGTGACTGGATCAATCCATCTCATCAAGGGTCTTCCTCTCTTGCGCTGTTCTTACCCCCTCCCAAGCATGATGTCCCTCTCCAAGGACTGGTCCCTCCTTGCAACATGCCCAAATTTAGGATTAGGAGGCAGTAATGCAATGCTTTATTTACATCCAATGTATATGTATTTGAAAATACATGTTATAGAAAAAAAGAAATTATATGTTATAACTGCAAATAAAAATTACATTTGAACCTGGAAAAAAAAAAGTGTGGTCGCTCCAACCCGTACTCCTAGGTATATCTTACGTTTATGTGCATATACTTCCTGATCATACACTCAGAACACATGCCATACCTCACCTGGTTATGCTTGGCCATAATCAGACATGACAGCTACCAACAGCCAAATCTTATCTAGGTCCTGCTGAAAGGTAATTATATTTTCCCTCTGATAGTTCTGTCTCTCAATCACTGTGATTATTCTTTGTGGCCACTTTGCTCCACATTTGTGAAAAAAAGGCTGAAAAAAGTGAAAATTATCTTACCATGGTTCTCATTATCTGAAAAGAAAATGATAAGAAACCATTAGCGACATTCTAAATCAGACCCTGCTCCCCTGAGTTGGAATAATTTTCCCCTCCTCTGTTAGAAAACAATGGATCCTCACATTCCTTATACTGGGTACAAAAGATTGTTTTGGGTTCTCGAGTCTATAGTTTACTGAGGGTCATTGACAAAAATGACTCTTACACCATGCACACTACACATTATATTTTTTAAGAAAGTATAATTGCTTTCGGGTTAATGAAGTTGGTTTAATCCACTGGAGAAATTGGTTAAATAGTGAGGCTTCCGATAGGGAGCCTCCCTCAACACTGTTCCTATGACTGAGGAAGTGAATCCAGGCCAGGCCCACTCATAAGCATGTGCACATACACGCACACACATAAACCCATAGTATTCGGACGTATGTGTCCCAGAGTGGAGCTGTGTCCGTCCACAAATGGACACAAACAACGTATGGCCAGATATGTATTCGTGTGACCCACCCTCTGCAAAATCTCACATCAGGTATGAAATGCAAACAAAAGAACATATTTGGCATTTTCAATTTCATTCTCTCAATTTCCCCCTCTTGGATAGTTAAATCTCACTATTTTGGCACTTTCCTAAAAATGAAGAAGATGGCAGAAACACCTTTTCCTGATTTCAGTGAGAGGCCTACAGAGAGCTCCACTCATCAAGACTGAGAATTCTGATTTCAAAAAATGGAGGGAGGAATATATTACCGTCTTGATCCTGTTCACCACCTAGAAAATATTAAGAAAAAGGAGTTAGTTAACACTGTGAATGCTCGTAATGTTAAACATTAAATGGGTGATAGTTTAGTACGATCATTTAAGAACAGCTAAGCTGGTCCTGCCTGTTGTTACATCACAGTCATTCCTACTTCAAGAAAAGGTAGCTGCAGACAGGCATTCTCGGTCAAGTCAGAAGGAAGCGGTCAGTATTTAACAGACAGAAGAGCATTTAACAGATAGAAATTAAAACTTTGGGTCCATCCCCCCCACCCTCCACCCCCCACCCCCTGCAGTGGGGAAATGGCAAAAGAATTTTGCAACTAAACTTTCATTTCAAAAATTGCTTTTATGGTGAAAAATATGCTCTTCTTTGGGTACACACATAGAGATTCTGGCTGCACCTCATCTGCTTATCTGCTAATTCAGTTGTTCCATTTGTTCTCTACACATTTCCAGACGGAGCTGGAAATTATCTGACACTCTGATTACTCACCAACAAGAGCCTGTGAGTAGAAAACCTGATCACAGTCCCACTAGGCCTTGGTGTCCCCTCACCCAGCAGTGAGTCAGTTTTGTTACAATGAACAGTTGCCCTGGTTGTGCCTGAAAGATTTATATTTGCCTGGACCTCTACTGGACTAAGAAGTTCTCTAGCGAGCTGAGATCTCTGTGATGGCATGTTGTCACGACGTTAAGTAAAAATGGAGGGAAGAACTCTAGAGAAGGTGTAGCAGTAGTTTTATATCATAAACCTTTCAGCAAATGCCTGGCCACTCTGGGCAGAAGTCACACTCGACTCCTTCTTGCTCACAATGCATTCATTCCTCAAACCAGAGAGCTTGTTGGAAACGCAGCATCTCTGTTTCCATTCTAGATCTGTAGAAGCAGAAGCTGCCGTTTAAAGGACTCTCAGATAATTTATGTGCACAATTGTAGTTGTTGTGTATACCGTCAAGTCAGAACCGACCCATGTCTGATCCTTCAGTGAGTTTTCAGAGGTGGTAAATCCCATGGAAGGAGACCGTCCATCCTTCTCCTGTGGGGCAGTTGGTGGATTTGAACCTCTGCATACTTTTGACTTGGCAGCACAATTCCTTACCACTAAGCCATCAGAGCTCCCTCATGCATACATTTAAGGATGAGAAATCTTAGTCTGGATAGATCTCAGAAGATGAATCAGGAAATAGAGACATCATGGCTGTGGCTTTGCAATTGCAGCTCAGTTGTGATAGCCTTTTCTAGTTCTCTGAAACACAATGGTCACAAGCCATTTTCAACCATTTGGCCTCCTGTGCAGACATTAAGGGCAGAGACAGACAGACTTGGCTTCTGCGCTTACTAACTGAGGTTTTAAGCAAATTGTTCACCATTTTTGAGCCTCTGTTTATCTGTAAAATAGGTAAGGCAATGTTTGTTTTCCAAGGTGGAGGTAATGATTAAATTAGTTAACATATATAAAAGGTCCCCTCCCTTTATGTGATGTCTCACACTCAATAAACAGCAAGGTTTTGGGTTTTTTTGTCTTATTGATCTAATTTGAAGAATAGAAATGGTCTTTGTTATTTATTAACCTATGTTCCAACTGATCAAGAGCTCTTGATAAATGAAAAGGCCGAAAGCCTGTGAGCTATTTAACAGTCTCAAAAATACCAAACTTTCTATACAGTGCACACAATTTGGGTTCATTATTTTGTGCCCTACACCTGCTTTTCCAAAGCAGAGAATGGAACTTAGTTCTTCTAATCTCTTCCAATTAGCCTCAAAGGTCTTGATAAATGTATTGATGGAACAAGCCTGAGAACAGACAGAAAGAGTTTTAGCTTCTGATAGACATCACCTCGATTTATTGTATTGGTCTCTAAGCTTCCAGGCACCCAGGGAGTTTTTTTTAAAAAATTGGCTTCCAGCCTTTACTCTCACTCTTCTCTTAACACAAATAGTTCCCCAATCGTCTGATAAATGAGCCTCTTTGGTGTTAATGGGCAGCCCAGGTAAGGTCTGGGGAAACACCCTCCCTTTTCATCCCATCAGCTCACCTGATAAAAGGCAGAGCCCCAGAGTTATCCAGAGAGTGCACAGCCGCATCCTTCTCCCCCCAAAACACTTGACCTAAGATGGCGGAGGTGAGTAGGCGTATTACTTCTGAAAAAGAAACCAGAGGGCCCTTTCAAAGCATCTGCTGGAGATGAAGACCCTGGGACCATTGCTCCCAATGGTAGCATGAAAAGAGGAGCTTTCTTTACAGGAGGGAGACTCACCATTTTCTGAAGCAGGTCCCCAAGGCTGGGAGGAGAGGCAGGCTTCTGAACCCCACACAGGAAGTGTGGAGGAGCCTCTGGGCCTGCGGGGCTCTGCGTCACTTGGAAATGATCTACGAGGCAGCCACCTGGGTTGGTTGATGAGCGAGTTGGGCCCCACATCCCACCCATAAAGATGAACCAGAAGACTGACAAAACCTGAGGCGCCTGTGCAAAACACCTGCAACCCGACTGCCCAGGCTTTACCCAATATACGTGCAAATGGGGGCCTTCTTCTCCGATACCACTCTCTACGCCCCTCAGAAGTAAGCTGTGATGGGAGGGTGACACTGCAGAGAGCAGCATGACTTTTGCTCTATGGTAGACTTGGTGTGAGCCAGAGAATACAGTTATTTTATTAATAAAAGCAGTGACTTGAAAATACTCATTGACTTAAAACCCACAATGTAGTATTTGTTTATAACATTTGCAAAAATGCTTTTTTAAAATCTCACACTACTGAATATTGAAAAGGGTTAAAGAATACACTCACACACACAAAAAGAATACGATCACAGAACAAGCTCGTTCTCTCAGACAAAGAGACTTTTTTTGTTCTGATAGATATAATCATAGTCAACCTCAAAATCTGCTGTTATTAGTGTGAACTAATACAGCATTTCTATATGCCAGGCACTGGTACCAAGGACTTGGTCAATAAAATCCTTTAATCTTAAAAAAACCCACTGAGGTAGACACTGTTTTCAAGTCTATTTTGTACTTGAGCAACTGCTACAGAACTTAGATTCTAAAAAGCAAAATTATTTGTTTAGTAAATATTCAATAAGCTGGGTACTCAGGTGGGTTAGAGGTAAGAAACTGAACTGGAATCCTAAAGATATAGGGTTCAAATCCACTGGTTGCTCCGAAGGAGAAGGATGGGCAATCTTCTGTGCAATTAAACTACCTCTGAAAACCTGCTAGAGGATCAGCTCTGAGTCAGTTCTGACTTAGTGGCACACAGCAACAACTATTAATACAACAATAAATGACAGGCTTTCATTCTTTATGGAAAAATAAAGGAAATATGCACATTCAATGGATAATTACAGGAAATTCATCATGAGAAAGAGGACATAGAGTCGCTATGGGTATGATAAAAGTGACCCTTAGCCACCACTTGTCTGAACAGTGAGCTGCACCATGGTGTTTGTATGTTGCTGTGATGCTGGGGGCTGTATAAGCAGCGTTAGCTGTGCTGGACAGGCATCACCAGAGCTTCCAGAAGACGACAGAGTAGGAAGAAACACTTGGCGATCTACTTTTGAACATTCCAATGAAAGTTTATGGACTTCTAGGTAAGATGAACCTTCTTCAAGCCATATCTCATATATCATGACAATCCATGGAATATTCAGTACTTTTCTCCAACACCAGAGCTTAAAGTCATTGATTCTTTTTAAAAAAAATTTTAATTTAATTTTTTAAGGCATTAATTCTTCTGTCATCCATATTCATGCCCTGCTCTCATATGCATAGCAAGTGATTGAAAACGCCATGACCTAATCAGACACACCTTTGTCTTCAAACTGACATCATTTGCTCCTCAATAATTTGAAGAGTTCCCTGACTGCAGGCTTTCTCAGTGAAATATGTCTCCTGATCTTCTAATTGCTGATACCAAAGGTATTTGATTGTGGATCCAAATAATATGAATTTGCTGATAATTTCAAATTTTTCCCCATCTACCATGATGCTCAAATGCCATAATGGAACAACTGTGCCATAGGTGTGCCAAACACCATAATGGCTACCCATTGTGGGTAGTGTTTGGTGGAGCTCCCAGATTGATTCTGGTTTGGAAGCCGGAGTGGTATTCATTTCCTAAATCACATTCTTCTGGAAACTCTGTGAACTTGAAGAAACAATAGTTATAGAAAGGCTTCAGGTCTTTTGTTCATAGGGTGGCTATGAGTCGTGCTCAACTTGGCGGCAATCAACAACAACAACAACAACAACAACAACAACAACAACAAATAAGATGACAGACTAGAGAGATGTCCAGACTCCCTTCTACAAAGATATCCCAAAAAACCCCCAAAGATAATAGTTACAGATAACACATTAACCCTGAGTTTTAAAGATTAAAAAAAAACCACCCCAAACACAAAAACCACCCAAACAGTTCAAACACTGACATGAGGAAGAAATGGAATGAGCCCATCAACTAAGGAGACAGATGGAGTAGTGAGTTGGGAACAGTGAGGCATTGCCATTTTGAACCTTCTTCTTTATTTTTTTTAAATGTTAATAAATTTTTATTTAATGAATGTTGCTCTTTTAATTACATTTTCCATCAATATCACCACAGTTCTTCCAAAGAACTTTGTAGACAAAGATTCATCTTCAAGAGAGCTCTTGTTCCACTACTGTTCTGTCAATAGAGAAGTAGATTTCTGGAGGTCTTGCTCCTTGGCTGTATTGCCTCTGGACATAAGAGCTATCACATTTGTATCACATTAGGCTGCATACTGATTTGCTTGTTACCTCTCCTATTATTTCTCCATATTAGTCACTTACTTCAGGGTCATTTTAGGATGCCAGTACTTCATGCATCGTCTAGGACTTTCTTGTCAGTGCAGAAGCCTACAACTGCAGCAGTGTTCACACCAGCAGTGCTGACAACGAAGATGCAATCTCCTCTGGGAGTACAGGGAAGCAACATTTCCTCCTTTTCATAATCCCCACGTCCCAGCCAAGTGACTGGCAGTG